CACTGCGCAGGTCCACAACTCCTTCGGTAACTCTTTCTCCATTAGCATACACCTGGCCATATCAAAGAGTGTGCGCCAATTTCGTTCAGCAGTAATATGAATAGCAAGTGGTTTGAATGATTCTGGCAGTCCCTTCAAAACCAATAACCCATCACTCAGTGTTTCACCAGCATTTTTCAGGGCATTGATAGCTGTCTCTGCTCTATAACATAGTCAAACTCTCACTGCTGGACTTTTGGAGCGAAGTCAGTTCTGTATACAGACTAATTATACGAGGCTTTTATCATCCAGAAACTGGATCAGCTCCGCGTATACCTCTGCATTTTTTGGTGTGTCTTCTTCTCCCTCCATGTTGGTAGGCTGCTTCAAAATAATGTCTCTTAGTCCTTGCAAACACAGGTGGCCCACAAATTCTGTCTCCCACAGTTCACAATTCTTTTCGTCCCCATCAAAAACTAGCCAAAACCAGCAGCTGTTTGACTCAGCGGCTCGTCGACTCATGGCGCTAGCATGGTATACTGATACTCAACGGGTACACTGTACATTGCGACGCTTCTCTCGGTGGCAAAAACACTTTAACTCCTTTAGAAACGTCGTAGTTATCTGGGCCCATAGCCCGTCAGCAGAAGTATGAAAATGGGCAGAGAAGTCTGACATCAATAGTAAACTGCACTGACAATGATTAGGGAGGAATAAACACACATCGGCCTTCAGCCATTTTTTATGAATGAACACGGCCCCCGAGAGAGCGCAACTTTATTAACAGCCAGCAAACACACACGTACACCATGCATCAAACAGAACAGAAACCCACTGGCCGTTTTTATAACCGAGAGCATTTTCTTTCTTCATGTCAACTGGACCTCTGTGCTACGATAGCAGGAGGCTCTAATGTTTTTTAAGACCGATGCTGTTTCCCCAACGAGCATCAATATTGATTAAATATATCCTTATACACAATTTTCCCTGTTTTGAGTCCAGCTTTGAATCCTTTGGGGAGTGCATCAAGGACATGATGCACCATTGGCTACAAAAATCTGTCAAATCCAATATGTGGAGTTACATACTCTGACTCCTCTGGGTTAAGGGAGTAGCTAAAGTAGCTTTTACTTTGTTATACTTAAGTGCACTTTGCACCCTCTTGTTTGATTAGTAAAAAAGCAAAAAAAAATCCCTTTGATGTAAAACAGCTGCAAACTGATCCTGCTCATTTTAACTGTCATTTCAGGTAAATAATCATGGCCTCCGGTGGTACTCTTTTATTCATTTTCACTGCCCTCTGTGTTACTGCAGTCAAGAGTGGTAAGTTTATTTATAATCTGAGAACTTTAAGCATGGAATGGTGTTTGGTACTCATGTGACCTCAAATCTATTTTTGCTTTCTTTTTCTACAGGATTTGTGAAAGTGGAATGCAAACCTGAAAATGTGGGACACTATGGCCAACAGTCACTGCTGGAGTGTGTCATCAAAACAACAACAGATATAAATGATCCAAATATTCGTATGGTTGTTTGGAAAAAAATGACCTCTCCAGAAGACGAAGGTGCTCTCGTGTTGGGTTTTAAAAGAGGGAAATTGGACCGGCCAAAGCGAGGCTACAGGTTTGCTGAACCATCATGGAACGAGAAGAACATGAATGTATCTCTGCTCATCACCAACACTGCAGTGGCACACGATGGAGATTACAAGTGCATGGTGATCACAGACAGTGGTGATG